TACCCATTCATTATCATTGAAGGCAAGACTACATTAAAGGAGAAGGTGAATGGTGATCCCCTTCCTTCTATTCTTTAGTTGTTCCTAAATTACACCTAAAATGCAAAGGCGAGTAATTAAACATCTATCATCAAGAAGCCATGTAGACCACTCTCACTGGGATTACAAGATGTTTGTTTTTATTAGGTTCCAACATCCAGGCCACAAGTTGAGTAACTTTTAGAAATGTTGGGAGATTGCCTTTCTTTAATCAAGAATTTAATCACTGATAGAGATCTTAAAGGTCTCTTCATATTGCATTCTCATCAAGTCAATTTTAGTGTGTAATGAACCATTGGATCTTTCATCATTTTCTCTAATTATTTCTCATGAAATTTGGAAACTACTTCTTGTCATTATAAGAGAAAGAAAAACCATTAACTCCTCAGAGATACTATTTTCAAGGAGTTGACACATGTCAAGCCAGGGAAAACAAGTAATGCTTTCGAGAGATACCTGCTGGCTTCTGCGATTTCAAAGAAAATGTGCCATTGATTTATTTATGAGAGCCTATGGCCTTTTCCTTTCTGGGTTTAAACATGTATTTGATACAATACAGAATTAAGACATGGCGAAGGAAAAAGAAAAATGTATATTTCCCTTTACCTGTCCTTAAAAAAAAAATGGGCTCTTTTGCAGGGAGTGTGGATGTAGTCATTAGTGAGAGAAGTTTTAAGTTGTCACCTTCCATTTTATTTTATTTTTTAAAGATTTTATTTATTCATTAGAGAGAGACACAGAGACAGAGACAGAGCACAAGCAAAGGGAGAGGCAGAGGGAGAGGGAGAAGCAGACTCCCTGCTGAGCTGGGAGCCTGACTTGGGGCTTGATCCCAGGACCTGGAGATCACTACCTGAGCTGAAGGCAGACACTTAACCGTCTTAACCACCCAGACGCCCCTCTCACCTTGCATTTCAGATTTAGTTTTATTTCATACTCACTTTCCTTGTTAAGCTGCTTCTCCTCTTCTCTTTAGAGAAGAAGCTGAAAAGAATCAAAGGTTTAAATCAGGAAGTGACTTCCAAGGACATGCTTCGAACCTTGGCCCAAGCCAAGAAGGAATGCTGGGATCGGTTCCTGCAGGAGAAGTTAGCATCAGAATTCTTTGTGGATGGACTTGATTCTGATGAGAGGTAATTGGTTCTCAGTCCAGTTCCAGTTGACAGCATTGCATTGGGGACATTTCTCTTTCTCTAAAGAATTCGGGGAGAGTGACATTTGAGTCCAGATACTGGTGATATCAACATCAGCTTTTCTAAGCTCAAAATCGTCCTTTTGTCTATTTGCTTAGTCCAGTAGCAGGTGTTGATAATTATTATTTTTGCAAAAGAGCAAATACTCCACCTTTATCAAGATCACAGATTGAACAGAATTGAGGAGAAAGCATGGTCTTCATTCCTAAGTACACAGCATGCTTACGAAAGTTGTAACGATCAACAACTGGAACTGTGTCTTACCTGACTAGCCATCGCCTTAGAGAGTTCCTGTCATATTGCAGGCATTCAAATTAGTATAGACTAAATGAATGAATTTCTTAAGCATCTACTGTGTGAAGGCACTACTCATGATGTTATGGGGCTGAGGGTGCTAGGGTGGCAGGGAGATGTAAGGAAGTTATAGTATCCCTCCCCCATTTTTTCTTGGTCCCCACAACTATTTGGGGAGAGACAGCAAATTTTTATAAAGACATACCTAACGAAATAAGGCAGCATAAGAAAAGAGCCAGGTGAGTGCAAGTGACAGAACATGCTTTGGGAGTTGAAAGACTCTTGAGCTCCCTGTGGGCTCTGGTGTTTGTGCCAGAGAAGAAGGTAGGACTTGAGGAGTATCTGCAGATGAGCTGGGTGCAGAGAGGAGGAGAGGGCTTTCTGCCACAAAGAGAGGAACGGTGCTCGGTGCTCGACACCTGAGAAAGAGGCTCTGCCACTTCCTGGTTGTATGTTCTTGAGGAAGTAACCTGGGTGTGCCTCAGTTTCCTGCTCTGTAAAGCAGGAATAGTAGCTCTTCCCTCATCATGCTGTTGGGAGTGTTAAAGGAGTTACAGTGTCTCAAGTGCTTAGAACAGACCCGGCACCTGGTAAGTACAATGTAAATGTTAGCCATGAGTGTTAGTCCTACTGGGCTTTTAAAGTTCAGTAAGCAATTATTCAAAATAAAAAATTGGTGAGGGAAGTAAAAGCCTGAATGTTAACAAAAGGTCTTAGGGAAACATCACCTAACTTTGCAACGCATCGTTAACATTGACTTTAAGAGTCCCGTGATGTCAGATAAAACAGCTGCTGAAGTCGGGGACTGTAGGTGAATAAAACTTGATAGTTACATTTTACTTTTCAACATACAAAGCATTTTCACTTACATTGTCTTAAATACTGCATCAGTGTGCCCCCAGATTCTTCAGAAATTAATGTGGCATCTAAAGTCAGCCCAACTACCTACCTTCTGAGGGTTCAGAAAATCATACACATTTTGCTCTTTTCTGTCTCTGAAGACTCAACCCAGTTGAGCCTTAAACTCCCCCAAACACAAGAGACTTGAAGATGCACACATTCCCAACCCATCAATCATTTGGTATTCTATTCTCTCCCCTTGAATGTTTGCCTCCTTTCCAGTTCTGAGAAGAAAAGACAAAATTTTCTCCTGCACAATTCTCAAGTAGAAATTCTTCTTCTTTTGAAAGCAGATCAGCACCAAGGCTCGAGTTAATGTTTCTGTATGTCTGTCAGTACCTTACAATGATGTGATGATGTTCCCTTCTCTGTAGAAGCGACTGAAACAATACTGTGAAAAGTGTGGGAGATGAAGATGAAATGCTCCTGGAGTCCCCTGGGCCTCTGAGCTGTGGGCACCCGTTCCCCTGAGCTGCTGTCTGTGGGAACACTTCTTTCTATGAGTGTTAGAACAAGCGCATCAGAAACAGTAGATAGGCATTTATTTGCAGACGTCAGAGTTTCTTTTTTAAACAGAGGCCATCTTGTAGTGGAACCTTGTGGTTCTTCACACAAGTGAAGGCCACAGGTAGGTGACTCTCCTCATGGCAATGCCTTTGGCAGAGGAGTAATGGGCTGAGAAATCCTCCTGGCTATCACTTGATTCTGCCATTTTAGTCGTCTGAAACCTGCTGGTGATGGCTTGACCTCTTGGCTTAAGACTTTGGGCTGTTGAAGAGCATAGAATAAGGCTTCCGTTATTTGTCATTATTTATAGTTTACTATGTATATCTTGTAAGCATTAGAGTGGAGGGTCTTGGGTACTTAAGGAAGGTGAGAGGGGGCCCTTCCCCCCCTCTTCACAGATCCAAACCCAAAAAGAGCCCTCTGGCACAGTGGCTATTTCTCTGTGGGAGAAATTGCCTCGCAGATGTTTCCATCTTGAGGACTTGCTATGGGATGAAGTAAACAAACAAAAAAACCCCACAAAAATGATGCTTTGTGCAGCTAACTGCTTTAAGTATAATGGAGTCTCAGAGTGCCTCAGGTATGGGAGATTTCAAGATGCTCACTAATAATTTGGCATTTATTTAAATGTTTCCTCCCTTGGACAATTCCCTCTCTAGTTTTAAGGGAAAAAAGACAGGACCGAGGCATAAGCTTTTCTCCAGCTATTCTTGCCAAGCCTTCAGAGGCTGTGCATTTGAAGGGGGCCTGGTGCTGCTTATAGCCAGTGCCCACTAGGGGGTAAATTATGCCGCTGAGCTGCCAGGATGCACAGCTGTCAGAAGGGTATCGTCATCCCCCCACCCCCCGCTTAGCAGTGAAAAACAATTGTAGGAAGAAATTGGTGGTGGGCGGGAAGGCAGCATTTGAGTAACTGAGATAATCATTAAGTAATTAATCAGCCGGGTCTGACGCAGCCGCCCTATCCTTCTGCTCTCTCCTAGCACCTTGGAACATTTCAAGAGGTGGCTCCAGCCAGATAAAGTAGCCATCAGTACAGAGGAGGTCCAGTATCTGATTCCTCCAGAGTCCCAGGTTGAGAAGCCAGCGGCTGGGGACAAGCCAGCAGCAGCGGAACAATAAATTACATACACACACACTGAGCAGCTGTCTTGGGTCCAGAGGGAACAGCAGAGAGCTCGGTGGAGCAGCAAGGAGAAATCTAGGGAGGGGGAAAGCCCACCCTCCCACTCAACAAAGCAAACAGCTGTGGGCCCCCGAGGACTTGCTTGGGGCTGGCGTGTGTGACTGTCGGATAAAGTGACCGCCCCAGTGCATGCTGGATCAACATACTGCTTTCCTCTGGGTCTCACAGCTTGCCTGAGCTCTGTCGATGCAGGTGAGAAGTCCGCTAAGATTCTAGCGAAGCAGCAAGTATGAAAGTATTTGGAGAAACTGATACCCTTGGGTTTAACATATAAGCTAAGTAAGCCATATTTTTTCTTTCCTCTCCTGGATGTTCCTGCCTGCGTTCCCAGCATTCCCTTGGTTAATTGTCAGGGGTGAGTGGGGCCAAGCAGAATCAACTCTGCCTCCTTGGGAACCACAGCCCACCGTGGGGCTTCTCGAAGTTTGTAATAAATATAGAGACTTAAGGAAAAGAGGCTTCGCTTTTCACTTTTCTTGGGTCTGGTTTGTTCTTTGTGGAGAAAACGAGCTAAAGTGTGAAAAGTTGGGTGTTTGTGTGTACATGTCTATTTTTTGATTTCATGCATCGTTTCTCCCCGAACTTCCTCTTGCACTTAAAAAGGGTCAGGCTTCAAATTAGACTTGTAAATATGGTGTTGGTATTTGACACCACTCCTGAATAGTTCCAGGCTCACTTGTGGCAGTTTTCCTGACTAAGCCTGTGTTTCCCTCCTTTATAGTGTTCTTGTTTAGCCTGTGTTGTCCGTATAAAACTTTTCGCATCAGAATAGCCATGTGTGTGGTGCTCTCGACCTGCTTCCCCCACCCAGACAGATGCTCCCAGGCAGTGAGGAGGTAAAGACAAGTGAATGACGATATAAGAGAGCAGATTACCTTTGCCAGCCTTCTGTTTTTAACATGCACCCTCCAACAAGGCAGACCTTGGTGCTCTGAGGGTGGGATTCTGTGGCCAGGATTCTGTGGCTGTGGCTCCATGGAGCTTCTTCCTGGGTAATGGGTTTCAAGTTCCTAATGACTAGCAGGGCAACCCAAAAAATCTGCAGAGAACACGTGCCTGTATCTAAATCAGGTATTTGCTTTGTCTGAAAGAACAGGAATCAACCAGGTAATTTGATAAACTTGCTGAATTAAATGAATTTGGGGAGACATACTGTCTTTTTTTTTTAATTGATTGTCTTAGTTTTATTCCTCCTGCTTTTTAATAGTAGGATTCCCTTGACATAGAGAGTGACCCTTTGTGTTCCCCAGACACTTTGAGGAAGCCAGACACTGACAAGTCATCTGGCCCTGGACTTGCAGGTTGCCATCCCCGCCCGGGGTTCAGGTGCTAGACCACACTCTTCCTACAGGCCATCCGATGGCTTTCAGGTGGATGGATAGAATTTTTTTTTTTTTTTAAAGACTGAGTTTTCTTCTCCCTGCATGATAAACAAAGATTACTCTTTTCTCAGTAATTTTTTTTAAGAGAAAAAGTGGTAAGGTCTCAAAACACTTTCCTAAAGAGCAGCCCATCATCAGAAAGAGAATGTATCCATACCAGAAAATAGTGTTTCTGTAATTCAGGCGAGATTCTAGCTTTGCCTTTTCCCTACCTCCCATTTTCTACCTAGGAAACACATATTAGTGTGAGAAGGTGGAGAATTGAGTTAGAGGAACCAAAAAGAAACTTTGGGACTGGAAGGGTTTTAGCCCCATGTGAAAACCTGGGTGGGGTATGGGACAAAGGTCCCAGATCTTCGGCTCCCTGCTCACCTAACTTCTTAGTAGAGGCAGATTGCCACAAAAGGGAGTCCAATGAGTTGCAATTCTGATTTCTGATTGGCTTAGAGGTGACAACCTAAGTGATCGCTTTTTTGGGGGATGGGGGAGCTCCAGTTAGCACTTTCCCAAATCAGTAAAATTTGAGTTGAGAGGGCTTTTCTTATTACCCCAAATGAAACAGAAAGAGCAAACAGAGCAATATTTAATGCTAACCCTTAGAGCCAAGTAAGGACAATTACCAGTAGGGTAAAGCAGAAATGATTTGGTATACCCAAAGAAGTCTGGGTTAGAGCCAGGGAGATAAGCTAAGTGACGGGTGACCACCACTGTTCTCTCTTGGCACATGGTGCTCATCACCCAGGGCTTGGTAAGATTGGTGCTGGAATAGCACAGACTTGTGTCCAGTCCTGTTCTAGAAATAGGCTCTGGATGTAGGCACAGAAAGTAAACAAGCAACCCACCAGCTGTTGCCAAGCTGTGTCCCTCCCAGGCAGGCCTGCCCACCAGGACTGTCGCTGGAGGAAGGGAAACATCCTGAAGCCACTCCCTGGCCCTGCCTTGGAGTCACTCCCCAAGGTTGAGAAAAGCTGCAGCCACGGAAAGCAGACATTTTCCTGAAAATTCCAAGACACTCCAGCCAGCTTTGGCCCTACTTGAGTTAGAAGATTCAAGATGGGACACTGCTATGGCAGTCTTCGGTGTGTGGGAGAGCTGTGTACTTGAACCCAGAAGTGGGTTACTGAAGGCGTAGATTCATTTGCCTAGGCCATATTTGTTGAGCCCCTGCACTGTGCATCATGGTGAACAGAGCAAAACCACATCTTCCCACGTGGAATGGTGGAGGGAGTGAGATGGCCTAGCTGATTAGCACTGTAATTGCTTGGGCTGCAGAATCAAGGCATTAGCATAGCTGCTTTAGAGCATGTGCCAGGAGCTATGAGAGCCCTAGGCCAGTCAGGGTGGGAGGTAGGAGAGAGGCTGTGTTAGGGAAGCTGAGTCCAGAAAAAATGGGTAGTGGTCAGACTGTGAGAATGGAGGAAGAGGAACATGGGGGCATAGTCAAGTCCCAGAAGAGGAAAACGGCATGTACATAGGCCTAGAGGCAGAAGAAGGTATAGAGACTGGAGAGTAGTTCGGTATAGTTGGGGTCATAAAGGACAAAGGAGGAAGCATCAAAAGGTGAGGTTGGAAACTAAGAAACGAGGTCAGGTGTGAAGGGCTTTGTAAGCCACGTTAAGGAGCTTGGATTTTATTGGGGCAAGAAGGAGCTATTGGGTTCTTTTTTTTTTTTTTTTAAAGATTTTATTTATTTATTTGACAGACAGAGATTACAAGTAGAAACAGAGAGAAACAGAGAAACAGTCAGAGAGAGGAGGAAGCAGGCTCCCTGCTGAGCAGAGAGCCCGATGTGGGGCTCGATCCCAGGACCCTGGGATCATGACCTGAGCCGAAAGCAGAGGCTTTAACCCACTGAGCCACCCAGGCGCCACCCTTTTTTTTTTTTTTAAGATTTTATTACTTGAGGGACGAGGGAACAGAGGGAGAGGGACAACCAGATTCCACACCAAGCGCAGAGCCCTATGTGGGACTTGATTCCATGACTCCGAAATAAGGACCAGAGCCGAAATCAAGAATGGGACGCTTAACCCACTGAGCCATCCAGGTGCCCAACTAAGGGGAGCAGTAACAGGATCGGATTTGGATCTGGAAAGACGGTTAGGGCTGCCATGGATACCACATGATTAAGTTGATTAGGGAAGCACAGATTCACATTTGGCAATGGTATGTCCAAATGAATAATGCAATTAGGTGGCTTGTAGTTTTCCCTTATTTATATTTTCTAGCTTAATTTCTTTGAAGTTACTGTTTGACTATTACAGAATAAATAGAATCCTATTTGGCAGATTGCAAAGATCGACATGTCAATCTCATCCCATCCTTTCATCCTACAGTACAGACACTCCTCACTTGGGACACTGGGTCGGTGTTCCCTCCCACTCTACTTGTGCTCTCTATCTGTGTCAAATAAATAAATAAAATCTTAAAACAAAACAAAAAAACAGCATGGAAGAAAGAGGTGGCTGACGACACATGAGTAAGAAGAAACCAACAAAAAATTTAACAAGTTAAAAGGCTACACGTGGGCTCACATGTCAGTTTAGAATAGCTGGAGACTATTCCAGACACTGGAGAGTTGTACTCACGGTAAGCTTTCTTCCATAGGCCTCCCTCTGAGGTTCTGAGGAAAAGTGGGAGCAGGGCAGGAAAATGGGGGAGGGCTTTCCTCCTCCAAGGTGGTGGTGCCAGCACGCAGGACTTGGTAAGGCAGCTGCTGAGGGAAAGCAAAAAGCCTCAGCTGCTTCTGCAATCCTCTTATAAACCAAAGCCTTAAGCCCCTGGGGAAGGGGCAACGGAGTTTTGCTTCGGGGGAGTGATAAAAGCAAAACTCACCTGCTTCTGGGTGAGGAGTCAAAACCTTTTTGCCCTTCTTTAACACAGCCAAAGATCCATTGCTTCAGTGAGTAAGAATGGAAGCAAAATCCCTCTATCCCAACGGGAAAGCAGGAAACAATCACGGGCTGAAGATACAAGCAAGGGGTGGGTGGGGGAGGGCAAGAAACTTGGGCCACCCCAAACCAACCACAGATATAAGGCAGAATTTGGCTTTCAGAGGGAGTGGGGAGAAAGCCTCACTCTTGCCCTCAGGATGTTGTCTAAGACTAAAGCAGAACCTGGATAACAGACACACACATCCTCAGCCCACCCCCACTGCGTGTCCTGCCCCTTCAGGAGCCTACCAGCACATGGCAAGCAACAGCGGTCCACTGCTGATGGAGGGGCAGGCATGCGGGGATGGCTAAGAAGCTGAGGGCAGAGCAGGAGCCCAGAAAAATCCTCTGACACCCCAGTCCCTACTCTAAGCAGCCCACTACCAGAGGAATTCAAAGACTGTGACATACGGAGGTAATGGTGGGAACGACAAACCCCAAACCCTACCTGACTCCTAACTCGACTGATTGAACCCCACAGACCAACCAAAGAGGCATGCCCACTTCCAGCCATAAATACCATTTACCTCAGTCTCTGCTCTTTACACAGGATGGGTATTCAGTACAAATTTGTGAAACATACATGAAAAGGCAAGGAAGAAAAAAACCCAAACCATGATCAAAAGATAAATCAACAGAACTAGACTCCCAGATGACAGATTTTGGAACTCCTGGGTAGGGACCTTAAAATAATAATGACTAATATGTTAATGGGTCTAGTGAGAAAGGGTGGGCAACTTGCAGGAACATATGGGGAGTCTCGGCAGAGACATGGAAACTATTAAGAAAGTTAGGTGGAAATGCTAGCAATAAAAAACTTGGTATCAGAGATGAATTCCTTCAACAAGCTATTCCATAGGCAGGCACAGCTGAGGAAAAAAGCAATGAACTTGAGAAAGGTCAATAGAAATCATCCAAGCAGAAACACAAAGACAAAAGGGAGTAGGAGTAAGAAAAGAAAAAAGAAAACCAAGCCTCTGAGATTGGTGGGAAAATACCAAACAGTCTAATATATGCACCATTTGAGTCCCAGAAAGTGAAGAAGGAGCGCATGGGGCAGAACTATTTGAAGAGATGATGGTTACAACACAAACAAGGACGTGTCACTGAGGGCACAGAGAGAGGGATGTGGGAAGCATGAGGGGAAGAGCCACCGGAACTTGGCATCCGAGTGGAAGGAAGCATGAGGGAGTAAGAAGGGGGAGCATGGCACTTGGGTTTAGTAGTGGCGGGTGGTTAGCAAGTGGTGGTGCAGGGATGGCCAGCCTGGCTTAGCCCTCTGCAGAGCCTGTGCTCCGTGGGTGGGCAGACTGGAGGGACACTGGGTGGACCTCTGCTTCTTTATGCCCCACCCATCCCTGGGAGGCTGTGCTAAGGGTCAGTGCACTGCCTGCCATGAGTCAACTTGTGGCTAAGAGGTATACCCCTTTCCCCACCCACCTATCCCAAGTGCCGCCTGTCACAGAGTGTTCTGAGGTAAAGGTCTTCTCTTCCGAGGCGGGCTTTCCTCTCTTCATGCTGACCTGATCCACTTTAAAAAATCAGTTCTTTTGCAGAGAAGCAGGGAGGGAGGAGGCAGTGGTGGGTGAGAGGGATGGGATCTGTGCGTGCATGCAAGTGTGCACAGGAAAAGGAGATGGGCTCTGCAGAGTTTACGAGAATTTTATTATTCCCATCCCCCCCTTTTTTAAACTAGGCTCCACACCCAACATGAGGCTTGAGCTCACAACCCTGAGATCAAGAGTTGCACGCTCTACCCACTGAGCCAGTCACGCACCCTGAGTTTTGGGGCATTTTAAAGAATAGGGCCACTTTTGGCTTTCTATCATTTGTCCTTTTTGGATGAGGTTATCCACTGGTAACTCAGCAGAAGCCAAGGTGCAGTGTGATCTTCAGCACAGTGACCAAATGAATGGTGAAGTCTGGGAGACAGGATGGAGGGTGTAGGCTGGATAAGGGCACAGTAGCGTAAATTCATGGTTGTTTAAACAACCATCTAAAAACTATGCTTGTTGGTTGATAAACTCACATGATGCTGGTTTCTTCTTCTTTTTTCTCCTTCTCCTCTCCCTACCCCTTCTTCTTCTCCCCCTCCTCCTCTTCTTCTTCTTCCCCCTCTTCTTTTTTTTCTCCTCCTCCTCCTCCTCCTTCTTTCCTCTGCCCAGCTCAACATTTTTATTTTTATTTTTTAAATATTTTACTTATTTATTTGACACACACATTGAGAGAGAGAGCACAAGTAGGGGGAGTGGCAGGCAGACGGAGAGGGAGAAGAAGGCTCTGTTGAGCAAGGAGCCTAATGCAGCTCTTGATCCCAGGACCCTGGGATCATGACCTGAGCCAAAGGCTTAATCAACTGAGCCACCCAGGGGCCCCAACACTTTTTAAAAAGATTTATTTATCTGAGAGAGAGAGAGAGAAAGAAAGTGCAAGCACAGGGGGAGGGGCATAGAGAGGGAGAGAATTCTGAAGCAGACTTCCTGCTGAGCATGGAGCCCCAACTGGGGCTTGATTCCAGGACCCTGAGATCATGAGCCTAAATCAAGAGTTGGACACTTAACCAACTGACCCACCCAGCTCAACGTTTTTATCAATGATTTGGATAAGTGCATAGAAGTCATCTTTACCAAAAATGAGAGGATAGGTAATTGACTAGGCAACAGAATCAGACTCTAAAGTTTTTTTATAGACTGCAATGATGGGACAAAGTATGAAATCTAATAGGGATAAATAGGAAGCTCTTCATTTAGGATAAAAAAAAATTACTCCACAATTAGAAGACAAAAAAGTACTACGTACTAGTTTGTTCTAGTGACATAAGCCAGACTCAGTCTAGATTAAGCCCTAGAGGGATATTGATTGGGAAGGACAAAAGTAGAGCAGGCCTCAAGATCAGCTGGATCCAAGGACTTGGGTAGTATCTTCAGTCTCCTCTTAACTTTTCTCTGTTTCTTCATGTGTAGGTAGCTATAGCAGGTAGAAACCTGGGAGTTCTACACATCATCTCAGTTTAGCAAATCTAGCCTTTCCAACTCCATATAATAAATCCAAGGAAAGGACTCTGATTGGCCAACCTGGGTTACATGCTCATTGAACCAAGTGCTGTGACCAGGGACAGGATATTTTCATTGGCTGAGCCTAGGTCATGGGCCCAAACCTATGGCTAGAGGCACAGGGTGCTGTGGTTGGCAATCCCACCAGAACCATTTGAGAATGGGAAGTGGGGAGAGTGCTGCTACCTGCAGAAAAGCACAAGGGATGCTAAGAAACCAAAACAACAGATGTTCAGTGTCTTTACAGTCCAGTTGAGTCAGTAGTGTTGTGTATCTGCCAACATTTGTAATTCTAGAAATCGATAGTAGAAATGTACTTGGAGCTCTAACAGTGTAAGAATACACCCTGTACTGACCACATGACTCTGAAGCATCATCTGGGTACTAGGAAAGAGGAACACTGACAAACTCATGTTGCTGCCTGGAGGAGGGATCCAGACTAAGGAGGCTCAGAAGACCATCTCATTTAAAGAAAGATCAAGGCAATACAATGTGGACTGGAAAGAGAAGATACAATAGACATAGTTGGCCTTCAAATATTCGGAGGAATCTTGAGTAGAAAAATGAAACACTGACATACAACAGACAAACTGGACCATTGAGGGTAAGTTTCAGGGAGGTCAATTACCATTCCTTATAAGGTAAATTTTCAAATAGTTGTCTAAGAATAGAAAAGGCTGCCTTGTAAAAGGTAGTGAGTTCCCTGTCATTGGAAGTGTTCAGTCAGGCATCAGAGACGTTGTAAAGAGGATTCCTATATATCACAGAAAGTTGGATCAGGTGACCCTGAAGGCCCTTTCCAGTTATGAGTCTATGGTTGGGCGCCTGGGTGGCTCAGATGGTTAAGCAACTGCCTTCTGCTCAGGTCATGATCCTGGAGTCCAGGGATTGAGTCCCACATTGGGCTCCCTGCTTGGCAGGGAGTCTGCTTCTCCCTCTGACCTCTCCCCTCTCATGCTCGCTCTCTCTTTCAAATAAATAAAGTCTTACAAAAAGAAGTCTATGGCTGTCCATTGGAGACCTACAGGTACTTGCTGCTAGTAAGTCAGCTTTGGACGCCCCAAAGTCTGGGAGGGAGAGCTGGTGAGCTCTTTTCCCACTCTAGATGATAATGACCGCTTCCAATCAGTCAGACACAGAGCCCTCCAACAATTCTTATCTTAGCCCAGCCCTGTGGGGCAGACTCTCCAGCAGGGAGCATCACAGAAAGGCAGTCCTTGTGCTATTTCATGTCCTCTGAACACCTATCACGAGACAAGGACTGGGATGTAGGCAGTTTATTTTAGGGAGCAGGCAGGAGTTAGGGAGTAAGGAGAATGAGACAGGATAGGGTACACTGAGTGGTTCATTGTGGGTAGTTAAGGCTCAGTTCTCCTGGGAATCTCTCTGGGGAGCCTTAAAGAACACAGCTCCAAAGGCCCTCATTAAACGATGGGGAAATCTGGGCTCTAATTCTACCAGCGTCCATCCCTCAGTGTTGAGGTTTGTCATTTGGGAGTGTTAAGCTCCTGCTACTTCCAAGGTGCCCTGCAGAGGCTGAGAAAAGCCTCCCACAGAGGAGAGGGATGGTCTACTTGCATTCCTGGACCTAATTCCTTTTTTTATTTTCCTTAAGGATTTTATTTATTCCGAGAGAATGAAAGACAGAGAGAGAGAGAAAGAGCACAGAGAGAGAAGAAGAAGTAGGCTTCCTGCTGATCAGGGAGCCCAATGTGGGGCTCCATCTCAGGACCCTGGGATCATGACCTGAGCCGAAGGCAGACGCTTATGAGTCACCCAGGTGTGTTCCCTCGCCACGGACCCAATTCCAAACAGGAGTGGGTGGGTGGGTGGGGTTCTCACGCACCAGCAGGATGTCCAAGAATTCAACTCAATTCTATCCCTATCTACCCAGAAATTGTAGCAGATTCCACAGGGTAAGAGTTCAGTCCCCCAAGACTGTCCCCCTCCCCCCACTTCAGATGCCAGTCGCAAGCCCCAGGCTGTCACATGTGCTTCTGACCAACTGCCAAAGATTGGAGTCTCCAGCCACCTCCTCCTTAGGTTCAATTAATTTGCTAGAGCAGCTCCCAGAACTCAGGGAACCACTTCACATGTAAAAAAAAAAATTATTTGACAGACATCACAAGTAGGCAGAGAGGCAGACAGAAAGAGAGAGAGGGGGACGCAGGCTCCCTGCTGAGCAAAGAACCCAATGTGAGGCTCGATCCCCGGACCCTGGGATCATGACCCAAGCCGAAGGCAGAGGCTTTAACACACTGAGCCACCCAGGCGCCCCACATTTATCAGTTTATTAAAGGATGTGATAAAGAACACAAACCAACAGTCAAGATGAAGAGAAACATAAGGGGAAGTACGGGGAAAGGGCCTGAAGCTTCCATGCCCCCTCTAGACACACTACTCTCCACGGCCTCTGCGTGTTCACCATCTCAGAAGCTCCCCAACCCAGTCCTCTTGGGTTATTCTGGAGGCTTCACTGCATAGTCATGATTGAGTCCCTGGCCATTGGCTGATTCAGCCTACAGCCCCTCTCCCCTCCCTGGAGGTTCCCACCCTCTAATCATGTAGTTGTTCCTCCTGGCAACCAGCCCCTGCCGTTGGGGTGGGGTGGGGAGTCCTTCAGTAATAACAAGACATTTCTTTCACTTTTCTGACTCTGGTATGTTTTCAGAGACTGTGGATGAACACCAAAGATATCTGGGAAATATACTGTTGTCATTGGAATGACCAAGTATACATGTTTTATAAATCAGTGCAACACAGATGGGAAGGCGTGAGCACGCCCGGAAACTGTCCACCACAGCTGCAGCTGGACACAGAGGTGGGCTGAAGGGATGTGGGGCAGGGTGCCACCAGCATCTGCCCTGGTCCCTTTCCCACCCAGCCCAGGACCTAACAGGGACAGCAGAGGAACTCTGATTTTCACGCTCTAGCCTCTGTGGCCCAGTGGGGTCTCCTGGTTGGCTAAATCGGCAGAGCCTTGTCTGATGCCCACCCATAGCTCTCTTGGGTTGTAGTCTCCCTTCTGGGCTGAGCTCCCTCACTGCACTGTCTGGGCTGAGGGCACCAGGGCACTGGGCTCTCCAAGCTGCCACCTGTTCTGTTCTACACCCACATGTGAGCTTGGGACATGATGACATTAAGGACATTGGCTGCATTGTTCACTCTACGATGGTCAAGGCCAGAACTGGTTAAAAGCTGGAGGGAATCCAAGTTTCCTCTGCTGATGGCCTGTTGTTTCTTAAGAAGCTAAGGCTAAGAATGACCCAGAACTCAAAGACCCTGAGAGACTCACCCAAAGCCTTGGAGACACCTCAAAGATGGGAAATCAGTGCACTAATGTTAGAGGCAGAATTCCTGGCCAGCATGGAGGACCAGTCTGGGTTGGTCTGTGCCTCCAGTTACCACTCCTCCAGCCTACTTGGTCAGAGTTCTGAAACCCTTCTCTCTCCTGTTCCTCTCTCTCCCTTACCCCCACATTCCTGAGTCGGACTCACTGTCTGTCATGTTAGTTACCTCCCACCAGGGGGCGACATCACCTCTGATGGTCGCACCCACCACTCCCTAATTTGGCCTCACTTCCTGCCATCCCGGCTCAGGGCTCTGATAGCCATTTCACCCCCTGAGAGAAGGGAGGCTGAGCTGTAGGTATTTATGGTGAGTCTGGGGTGAAATGGAACCAAGGGCCTCCCTATGGCAAGGAGGGGGTGGGTGTGGGTGTGTGTTGGGGCGGGGTTCGATTTTACCGTCCTTAGCTTAGGGCAAGGCAAACGGCTGGCAAATGTTATCCAGCCAGAGGAAGAGTCTGGCCAGCAGATCGACTGAAACCCACCTGAGATGTCAGAGAGATGAGACAAAACACTGGCTTCGCACCCGGCTCAGGGCAAGGCACTTTCCTGGGATGGGAGCGGGGAAGGGTGGGCTGACTCCTCTCACACCTGTCCCATCTTCCCTCTCTTCCTCACTCAGGCCCTCTCCATTGCTCTTCAGTGAGGGCTCCTCTCCCCCTGTGCCTCTCGTTGTCTGTTTCTGTCTCAGACTCTGTTGTGCTTTGTTCATCAGCCTTCAGTTTTGTGTCGCCGAGACTCTGAGACTCTATCAACCATCTCATTTTTTTTTTTTTTGCCTCTTCACATTCTCTGAGTCCCTAAATACACTTTGTTTCTCTTTGTCCAAGAGACAGTGCCTGCCTCTGACTCGACCTGTTTTTCTGTCTGTCCGTCTGTCCACATTCCTAGAAGCCCTTTAACTCCTGAACGGAGTGGCTTTTCTGAGAGCGGAGCCTGGGACGGCCACCCAACGTGCAGAGTAGAGGTGGCTAAGGACATTTCCAGCCCAGCAGTCGTCATGGCAACAGCCAGGGCGGGCCAGGCAGGGGACTGCCGAACCACGTGGGCTTGACCTTTCTACGGGTGTCACGTTTGAGCGGGAGCTGGGGAAAAACAGCAACAACTGCTTCTCTCTGGCCCAGCCCTCGGCCTTCCAGTATGGGCTGAAAGGAGAGAGGGAGAGAGGAAGAGAGGCAAACTGGGACAGCTGGCCACAGGGTGAGAGGAGAGACTTGCCAGCCAGAGCCATCTAGAGAAACCGCGGGAGAGAGGGGCGCGAGCACAGGCACGCACACACAGCTGCAGGTTGTCACCAAGACTCCCACTGTGAACTGACCTGTGGAGGGCACCAGACATCATTCCTGGAGGCTCCGCTCGCCCTTCGCCAGTCTCAGCTCTGGGTAGGTGGTTGCAAAGGTCAGTTCCCCGCACTCAGAGCTCCCCTCCAGACGCCTTCGGATCACATGTGACTTTTTCCATATTGCAAAGGCTTCTATTGCTCGAAGGAAAATATGCTAAAAGAAAAAAGAGCCAAATGATTCTTTCAAAAATAGAAATATAAATGCAAAAGTCCAAAGAAAGACACTCAAAATAAAAGGCATTCTAATCCTCCCTCTCCTTTTCCCGGCTCTGAAGGTCTCTCCACAGTTGCTTTGCAGGCCTGCCAGGTGAGCGAGGAAAGAAGAGGCTGGGTCCCCAAGGGCGCAAGGAGGACTGCCAGATTTTTGGTAGCCCGACTGTGATGGGAGCTTGGATTCACAACACTCCTCCCTGCCCACACCCACCCGTCTCGCTCCTCATCTTTTCCCTATGGGGCAGACACACAGGCACCAGGAAGGGGTGTCCATGGGCATCCTATTAACCTTAGGAGGTTACCTACCTCAAGAGAGAGGTAGGTGAAGGGTACAGGGCAGCCTCAGGTTAGATCCATAGAGAACACAGCTTGCCTCTGGATCTCATTTCTACACTTTCAAGCTATGGCCATGCAGGAAATCTCAAGCCTTCTGGGAAACACTGCTATGGAAAACAAGAACCACAAATTGAGAATGGAAAAAAAAAAAAAAGGTCTTGTAGTGTACTGAAAATCTATGTGCAGGGAATACATGAAGGAGGCATTCACCAGCCAAGAGGTGGGTGATGACTTAACACACCAGCATTCCAGCCTTCTTCTATTCATCAGTCAACCCAAAATCCCCTTGAAGAACGGCCCTTGAGCACTCAGATAAGGGAAGGGGAAGTCTTGGGATACTTGGCAGGAGAGGGCACGGCAGACCAAGTGGGCATAAGTTAGCATGCTTCCAAAAGGCTATTTGAAATGAGTCCTGATTATGTGTGGTTGAAAATGGTCAGAATGTTACCAAAGATCCAGCAGTTGCGAGGCTAACCTCTCTTTCTCTGACTCACAGGTTTGTGTGGTGGGCCTCTGTTTGCAAGCTGATTGACATAACCTCCTAGTTCTGTCCCTATAGAATTATCAGTGACTCTTCCTGCCCCTTTCCTGGGGACAGAGTTGGTTCTGGGAACCTTTGGGTACCTGGGACTCCAGAGCAGCGGCCAGAGGGCAGGAGGCCGGTGCCTGGCCGCCCCACACGAGGCCCAGGCTCCAGCCTTGCACACATGCACAGCACCATCCCTCTCCCCCTGCGGCAGCTGTGTCCAGGGCCTTTTTCTTCTGCCTAAGCCCTTCCCTCTAGCTCTGCCTTTTCTCCATCAGCCCCTCAACTCACCCCTGGTCCCCCTCCTGCTCAGGACCTGGGGCTGGCACAGCGCCCCAGGGCTTTTTTTTTTTTTTTTTTTTTCTTGGGCAGTCTTGGAGCATCAGCACACCTGAAGTGGTGTAAACTGGGGAATGTGAGTCAGACTGGCAATTGCTCCTGCCAGGCCTGTCACCCTTAGAATCCATCCCTTCTCTTTCCACTCATGCTCTGGGCCAGGTCTGCCTCAGCTTCAGGATCTGGAAGCTCACCGCGCTAAGACAGGCTATCTACTCTTTCATGCCCCTGCCTTTGCTCGCTCCACTCCCTTGGTCAAAAATCTCTTCCCTGGTGAATCCGTGTTCTGCTTTAAGACTCAGCTCTAGTGCTACCTTACATGTAGAGCTCTCCTCCTCAGTCTACCCCAGCCTACTCTGTTTCCCTTAGAATTTGTTCTCACCACTCTCAGAGCAGTCATGTGTCTGTTTCCACATCTGCCTCCCCACGGGAGGGTGTGCTGGAATGGGCTGGATTGTACTGATCTGTGGAGCCCCAGAACTTGGCTCAGTGTTGCTCACTGAGTATTTGTGATTACTGTTGGTTCTCCTCCAGAGTTGACCCGCTGGTGTAGGGTGAGCCAGAGAAGGTCTCAGACTCCCTAGAAGCATGGCAATGAGTACTGGGTGGCATGGGTCATGCTGCCCCTTACTTCCTAGACCACAGCTCCATTGTGACCCAGGTCTTACAGTGTCAGGCTGGTTGCAAGACAGGGTACTTCTCACCTCTGGTAAGACCACAGCTTTGGCCCACTGGCACCCCATGGGACAGAGAAGCAACACCTGGCTAGCATCTGGATCCTTGGGCAGATGAGTCCCATAGTTATTCCCTCGTCCTTTGGCTTTACTGACTCCCCTTGCTGCACTAGACAGAGCCCTGGAGAGTGGGCTTAGAGCAGGAAGAGAGGGCTGGAGACATTCTTCCTGTCCTCCTCCCTCTCCCTCCTCCTGGCTGGCTGCAGCTGTGCTGTGTGATGGGGAACTGAGCACAGTCTTAATTACCGCTCAGCCCTGCTCATTAGTGCCTCTGGAAGGCAGAGAAGCCCCGAGTTAGGACGTCTCGATCAGAGTGGAGGCCAGGGCCCCAGCTTTCCCGGGTGATCGCTAGTCCCAGTTTTCAGGGGTTGGGTCTGTGTGACTGTGGATCCCTTTTTGGGCCTCCTGGAGCCGGTGAGAAGAGAAGGAAGGCCGGGCCCCCTCAGGGGCTCTCGCTCATGTGTATGGAGCATCACAGGGACAATATATGGTGGAACATGTGAAACTCCAGTGCCATCAGAGAAAAATGAACAAATGATTAAATAAATCAAATGTGCTCAAATCCAGCACATTGATGACTTACCTGCCTTTGGAGGGACTTAAGCAAGGAGCCGGGTGCATTGTTCAATTTTTTTTGGCAGTGAAATGGAATAAAGAACTGTAAAGTGCTGAACACTGAACAAAAGAGAAGCTGAGTGAAGGAGAGGAGGGGTGGGTCCTGGAAATTATAAATGAAAAGGCCCTGTACAATATCTGGGAAAAGTCCTTTACAATGCCAACTTGTAAACACCCTAGAAGATGATATGAGATAATACATATGAAAGCACTTTTTGAACTGTAAAGGGCTTTGGAAATAGAAGGTATTATTAGGTAATATTTCTGCTCAGTGCAGAATATAGAACAGATGCTGTGGGGAGGCTGGAGATTTATGATAATGACTCATCACCCACAAGGCACTCACACAGTTTAGGCTGTTTCATTTAATTAGTCGTTGCCTCTCATATACACTACTGTGGAAGCCTTCGAAAGGGCCTCCCCACCTCCACCTTCTCGCTAGATCCATTCATTTTATATGCCATCGCCAGGTTAATTTTCCTGATGTGGAGCTCTCATCAGATACTTGCAATGATCCTCTCGCCCACTTCACAGAGCTTGGAGACCTTGGCTTCGCAGTCAAGATCCTCCATGCACTGGTCCCACAGGTCTCCCAACCTGATTTCCCTCCTTCCACCCTGAAGATGTAGACCCAGGGAGATCAAGTCCCTTTGCCAACACCACACAGACACAAAGTGGCAGATCCCCAAATCAAGCCATCAAACCCCAGACACCTGACTCCAAAACCATTGCTCTTTCTAGCCCATCACCTTTTCCCTCTGATGGATAAGATGCAATGAAGATCTTTCCCACACAGAGCTTTTTCTCTTTGGAAAAAAATTCCCTCAGGACAAATTCCCAGGAGTGGGATTACCAGGTCAAAAGACATTACTATTTTTATGGTTGCATGAATTGACATATGCTCGGCCAAAGGGCTGAGCTGATTTATATTTTAGTCCGTGATAAATACACACAACTTTCACCAGACCCTCCTTGCCACTGGGGGGTAACCTTTGAATAGATTGCTACTTAAATAAGGTATTTCTTTGTTCTAGTTTGAGTTTCTTTGACTATCGAGGTGGAATATTTTCCATAACTCTATTTACTATGTGTACTTTATCATGTACAGATTATATGTTCATATGTGTGGCTCATATAATTATTAAAGTCTCCATATATCAGAAGCTGCAACTAGATAAAAAGAAAAAGGAAAGGCAATCTTTAAGAGCAGGTATGGTTGGCTCTGTGAGATCAGCGCAGAGGTCCTTATCCGACAAAGTCATGTAAATAAGCTGTACCTTGAGTGAATCTGTAAAACAGAATTGAGGTCAACTGATTTAAAATACAGTCAGCAATTAAAGGGAGCACTTTGGAGAAGGCATTTCCTGACTGAGTCAATACTTTTCCTGACCCCAGTCATATGTCATAACACTAACACCCACTACTTAATTTCCAAGTCACTTTGGTGACTACACATTTGTCCTGAAACAGCAATGCTTTATTTTTTTATGATGCATTAAAAATTATTTCATTTTTGACAAGGTCATGTGTACACACAATACAAAGGTCAAAAGATATAAAAGGATTGAGAGCGAAAACAACATCGCCTTCCTCTCCTGCCTTCTAATCAAGTTTCCCTCCCTGGGGACAGATGCTATTCCCAATTCCTCGTGTATCCTTCAGGGACATCCTATGCATATTTGAGCCTGTACGTATATATCCTTAATGGAAATGATAACATCCGGTATAGCATACAATATGGGCTGATCCGTACTTTCCTGTTTTGAGAACATCAGTGAGATGAGAATATCAGTATACAGAAAGTTTAAATACATTTTTAAAACTGGAATATTGAATGGATGTGCCCTACTCGAAGAAAACTCATTAAACAAAAATCTACATATATGAGGCAAAGTTTCAGGAGGTATTTATTTTGCAACTAAGCCTCTATTTGTATAGAAATAAAAAACTGAGGTGACTGGGTGGTTCAGTTGGTTGAGCAACTGCCTTCAGCTCAGGTCATGATCCTGGAGTCCCAGGATGGAGTCCCGCATCAGGCTCCCAGCTCAGCAGGGAATTTGCTTCTCCCTCTGACCCTCCCCCTTCTTATGCTCTCTCTCTCATTCGCTCTCTCTCAAATAAATAAATAAAATCTTAAAAAAAAAGAAATTTAGGGGCACCTGGGTGGTTCAGTGGGTTAAGCCTCTGCCTTTGGCTCGGGTTGTGATCCCAGGGTCCTGGGATTGAGCCCCACATCGGGCTCTCTGCCCAGCGGGGACCCTATTTCCTCCTCTTTCTCTCTGCCTGCCTCTCTGCCTACCTGTGATCTCTCTCTGTCAAATAAATAAATAAAAACGTAAAAAAAAGAAATTTAATATTTCAGTTATGATTTATTTCATCAATATTATGTTAATG